ATACTTATTTTTTTATCCCCCCATTCAGAAAACATGTCTACGCCACTGCTCGATTCAAATGATCAGAGTTAATTTGGTGCAACGAAACGTGATGACTGATGAGTCACAAAATTCACCTATTATTTGAAATAAAGCACACACGCAAATATCATTCAATATTTCAATCACTGTAAAACCAGTAAATTATACATTCCTTGCTCTTTAAAAATCCAAAACACCTAGTGGTCTTGGACAATAATATCTTTGGCTGATGACAAAATTATAAATGATAAAATCGATCTTGACATAGGCGCCCGCAGGGGGGTGGCAAGCTGAGGCATTTTCCCTCCCTGACTTTTTAAAAATATTATTTTTAATTGAAGGTTTTAAGATAAATTACTACATACGAGTACTATATACAACAAATTTAAAGTTTAAAATTAAAATATAATATATTGTATATGAGTATAATAAAAAAGGTTATTATTTTAAAACACCTAGTAAAATCATAATATTTTTCCTCAAATCATAACATTGCCCCCTCCCTCCTAGAAAAATTTCTGCGGGCGCCTATGGATCTTGATTTACCCCATGAAGCAATAGATTCGTAAATCGATTTACAGAAAATTGTATAGACATATTGAACACACCGCACTGTAACCTGTAAGTCATAACTTTGGTTTCTTACATAATAGTTTTTGTCGTTTTCACAATTTTCGGTATAGGTAGGTTTATTGGTACCTGTATGATATATTATAGTAGGTAATTTTAATATTTTATAGTAGACGGTTGCTATATACTATTGTTGACTGGTTGTCTATATATGTATGTGTTATGTAAATTATCTTTAGCCGAATATGACTATAATATTGGAAAGTGTTTGAATTAAAAAAAAAATCAGAAAGTACAAAATTTTAAAAAATGTTCCTATAGTTACCTAAAGATTTAAATATCTTATTGAATTGAACATCTTAATTAGATGAGTGGGTGGTAAAATATTTTTGAAAAAAATAGGGATTCACTATCGTACGTACCGCGTCCGCTCTTCAATTTCAAACACTGCATTCTACAGGTAGATCGTAGATGGTAGATTATTAGGCTTTATATAGACTTTTCACACTTTGCAGCCATACAACAAAGAAATAAACCATAACAAGCTGTTCAATATTTTTCCTCTGCGGAAAAATCTATCAAKCATCCGTATGTTTTTAAACACAACAATGAAAATCTGCGTAAAATCGGCCAAAGACAATAAAACGTGTACCTAGTAAAAAACAAATTTATCGAATTTGGCGCCCATAGGTATATATATATATATATATTACAAATCAAACTCAATGGTTCGGTCTAAACATTTTATAACAATATTCGTTTGTATGACAATATACGTAACGTAATACAGGAAAACTGATAATATTGGATACTCACACCTATGTCCTATTGATTAGGTGCCATACTATTATAATATATAATTTATACCTACGTTATAAACTTATAAATGTTAGTATTATGTACTCCTGAGTCCTGATATAAGAAACAATGTTGATTTAAGATTTAAATATTAGATTAAGACAATATTATAATAATTTATAACCTGAAGGTATTGAAACAGTCAACTACTCGAATGGTCGAATGACTTGTAATTTTAATGTGTTTACAAAACATACACACATATAAATATAATAGATTACATAGTCTATATATTATTACATAATCAAGAGCACTTATGAAATATAAGTGTGTTGCGTGTAAGTGTGTACCTCCTAACTGTAAAAAGAATTATCTCTCGAAATTAAGATAGGTAATCGACTATGCGAGTAAAACAATGATTTGGGTGGATTTAGTGGTATAATAATATATTACCTATTGGATCACTTATATATGAATAATCGCGTAGCTTTCATATAATGATTGGTACCCACGTCACACTAATATACCTGCAGTTACCAGTTATAATTCAAATAGGCTAGTTATAATAACAATAGGCTATATAGTGGTAACCTATTGTGGCCATATAGGTATTAATATATATAGGTATATTAAATAATAAATTACCAACAATTCAGTATTTCCTGCATAATTAATTGAATATTGTATTTTTTTTTTTCCAATAAATAAAATGCGGCTTAATAAAGTAAAATATGTTTTCGTCTATATTGTAATAATTGTAATGACTCTAATCACATTTTTAATTAGTTTTGATATCATTTCAACTGGATTTGAACATAGGTATGTATATAAATTATATAGATTATAAATTTATAAATACTCAATTTAATATTTAAATCATGATAGCATATTTATTGTTGTCCATTAATCATTAATCCATATAACAAGACATTAACACGTAGGTACTTATAAGTACTATCGTGGATTACATTTTAGGTAATCAATATGGTATTATGTTTACCTATTGTATTTAGGTTTACACTGTTCTGCGCCGCGGAACTGCGGAAGTGATGCGAATGCAGTTACCGCGGTGTAGTAGATTCAAAACTGAAAAAAGGGTTAAATTATGTTAAATACAGATTCAGGGAAATTGTAAATAGGTTAGCACGGGGTTTTTTTAGAATTTGAGAATATAGAAATAGAGATATTAGGTAAATTAAATTCTATTTTTATTTAATTTAAATTTTTTTATAGTATAAACGCTAATAAAAATAATTTTAAAAGGCGTATGATGTCTAATAAAATTATATATAAATTTTACTGGTTATTTATATAAAAGTATTCTTATGAATGAATTCAAATATTTAAACWTTTTATTCAAATACTGTTTGAAAAAAATATTCCAATACGTATTCTAAATACAAACTACAAAGTGAAAGTATTTTTTAAATACTGGTTAAATTATTATTTTCATTTTAATGTTTGGTATATGAAAAATAAATATAGTTACTTACCTAATTAATTGAGGTTATTTTTTAGTCTAATATAGTAATGTAAAATAATCTGATACCTACTATAATAGTAATTTCCAAAATAATAGGTACTACAAAAATATACTAYAGAATGTAGATTGGACAATAAAAATATGTTATTTAATATTTTTCTAAAATATGTATATTAACAAATTATTTAAAAACTGTTACAAGTTTTTACAGGACAAATACTGAATCAAAGTCACCACCACAACCTACAATAGTAACAGAGAATAAACGTATATTTTTTTTGAAAACACATAAATGTGCTAGCTCTACTGTTCAAAATATACTGATGCGTTTTGGCCATATGGAGCACCTTGATTTTTTGTTACCAAGTTTGAATAATTACATAGGAAATCCTATACATTTCAACACAAATATGATAAGTGATAATTACTCCACTGCGGATGGCAAGTATGACATGTTTATMCATCACACCAGATATTCCCAACAAATAAAATCTGTGATGAGGTCTGGTACAATTTACGTCACTATTCTTCGGGAACCCTCTACATTGTTTCAGTCAATGTACTCGTTTTATCATTTTGATAAAAAATATAAATTCAATTTAACTCAATTTATCTCCGATAAGCTTTCAAACATATCGTCTGCAAACCAAATAAAACGTTACAGTAACAAATTAGGAATAAATCAAATGAATTGGGACTTGGGAATGGATACAAATGATTTTGAAAACAATGATTTGATAAACAAACATATAAATATGGTAGAAAGAGATTTTGACTTTGTAATGATATTTGAATATTTAGATGCATCTCTTGTTTTATTTGCACATTTCATGCAATGGCCATTAGAGCAAATGGCTTACTTACCACTAAACAGCAGAAATGATACATATAAACAAATATTATCAAATGATGAAATTGATCRGTTAAAACAAGTCAATAAAGCTGATAATATGTTATACACCCGGTTTATCCAAAAATTTAAAGAAATGATAAACGAATATGGAATAGAAAAGCTAAAAAAAGGAATTAAAAGTTTAATGGCCATAAATCAAGAAGTCTTCGAAATGTGTGTACAATCGATGGCAAATAAAGGTTATGCTAAAACAATGTCATACAAATTAAAAGCAAATACAAAAACAAGGTGCAAGTATATTGCAATGAACGAATTGAAATATACATCACATCTAAGGGAAATACAATATGAGAGGCAGAAGAAATATAAAGCACTGGATAAATTAATGAATAATAATTAAATATTATAAATTATATTATCAAATAAAATAAAAACATTGATGAATTACAAATACATTTTTTTATAAATAAGATAACACATACTTTAACTGAGTGTAAAAACTCAATAATGATTGAATGCATTTATTCTTACATTAATTTTAATCCATTATCAAATCACTATAAGCTAGATCCCAATAATGTTCCACTCCATGTTTTTTTAATTGTTCACGAGCCAACTTTTCTGAAGCACATACTTTAAACTTTATTTCTCCAAAATTACGTTGCTTTGACATACCCTGAAACGAAATCACAAAATATATAAGTAACTAGAAATTATGTTACACAATTTTTGAAATTATGAATTAATTTAAATTAGGTATAATACAAATTGTGAATAAATTAATATGTTTTTATCAATCAGGCTATTGTTAATTTGCTTTCAGCATAGAACTTAGTCTTGCCTGATGAAAATAATTTAAAAAGAAAATTCATAGTAATGTCTTAAATAAAAAATAACTTGATGAAAAAGTAAACGTTTATTCTTTTAATCTTAAGATGATGTCAATGTACTATTTGTATTCACTCTATGGCATACGCTCAGCATTGACAAAAATCATTTATGCAGAATCATTTTTTCAACATTTTAAGTAGTATTAGAGTGAGTAAAATCACCCAATTATAATAAAGATAAAGAATAATATTTTTGAGGGAATGACATATCAATATTACATTTTATTGTTATTTGATTTTGTAATTGACTTTCAAAATAAGCAAAAAAATGTTATAAATTTAAATGATATTTAAATTGTTTTGAGACAATACTTAGACAAATCAATATGTTATCCTATCAAAAATATTATTCTCTATCTTTGTTGTAATAGGTGATTTTACTCGCTCTAAGACTTCTTAAAATCATAGAAAAAATGATTCTGCGTAAATGAGTTTTGTCTATGTTGAGCGTTGGGCCARAGAGAGAACACAAATAGTAAGCTGATATCTTCTTAATAATTRTTGAATCATGAATATATAGTTTAAAATAGTAGTTTAAGAGGACATTACACCCGCATGTGTTGTCTCCGTCTTATAAGTACGTAACATTGCAAAAACTGTTTCGCGCGGGAAAGAACCGAGAAGGCTACAGTCATCATATCTAAGAAACAAAACTCTCACCAAAGATAAAAAGGAATTTCGACTGTGCAACGTTATTTTTATTTTTTTGATATTAGAACTGAAAAAAAAGATATTCGATTTTTAAAAACGCAAAAATAATGAATTTTGAAACAATAAGAACTTTTTTTTCTATTTGTGATATCAAAAAATTGAAAATAACATTGCACAGTAAATGTTTTCCTTATTATATGGTGAAAATTTCGTTTCTTAGTTATAAGTTTATAACTGTAGCCTTCTCGGTTCTTTTCCACGCGAAACAGTTTTTGCAATGTTACGCACTTGTAAGACGGAGACAACACATGGGTGTAGCGTCCTCTTAATTAAATAGTTATTACATTTTATTCAATAGGTACAATTTTGTATTTACTATTTTAAAAATAATTAAATTTGTATAAATAATTAAATAAAATCCATGAACAAACAAATGTATAAATATATCTGCCAAGCAATATTTAATGGTAACTTTATAATAATTTTAAAATATGATTTTTTTTAATTACCTCCCATACTAAAGAACATTTATTGTTTGCTTTAGGTTCTGATTCATCTTTACATTTAATTACTTCATCATCCCATTTCATCCTGTGTAACATCAATCTAAAAATATGTATATAAATATTGTTTAATAATCTATCATTGGCATAATCTTACAAATAAATAAATATGATTTAGTTACCTCTTATATTTTTTCTGTTGTTTAGGACCCCCCTCCACAATAACAACATTACAGTCCTTGCATAGAATGACACAACCAGTCATGAATAGTTGTTTGCTATTTGTTTCAATTTTGTATTTTTTTGATGGATTACTTAAGTCTTTTATTCTAAAAAAATGAAGAAATACATTTAATTTACTGATAATTATTTCAATAACTCTAATTCTATCAAATTTACCTATATATAGCAATGTTAACACCTAATGTAGTATCTTCCTGCAACTTTCTTATTTTTTTATCACGTCTTTGTTCTGGATTCAATCGACGTGATGCATTAGCTTCTTCATGTGCTTTTTGACGTTTTGCCATTTGTGCCCTTACATGAGATTCCATTTTAGTTGGATCTTGAACTGCTTCTGTCCCCAATACTCTCATCAAATTTGAAATACGAAGCTAATAATCAAAATATTATAAAATAAATGAATCCTATCAAGATAAAAATAATACAGGGAATATGCYTTTTAGTTTATGATTTAATACCTTAGGTTCAGCTGGAGGTTCTAAACCAAGTCTAATTTTTTCTTGTTCTTCTTTCCAAGTTTCTCGACGGTTTTGACGTCGTAACTTCTTTCTTTCTTTTTTTGTTAAGAACACAGGCATAAAAACTGGTTTCAATGGATCAGCTGAAAAGATTTATTGTTTATAAATTTATTAAACAATGTTGTAATTACTGTGATTTAAAGAAAAAATATATTGAAAATTTAATTTTTTTAATCTTTAATTAATATTATGCTCACCAAACCTATTTATTAATTTAAATTTAAGTATATTTTGAATTAATTAATATAATTTAAGGAGTAAAAGCTTTTAATGAACTAAGCATATCAGCTGTTTATTTAAATTTTTGAATTATTATATAAAGATGATTCTAACTCCTAATATTTATAAATATGATTTTGATTTGAAGACAATGCAAATAATAAAAAGCACTTAAAATGTAAAGCTAGGCATTTTATAATATAATATATAAAAAATAAATATATATATATCTAAATATCAGAAAATTAACTGTCTGGTAAAGTATTAACAGTTTATATTTTTATGCATGGAAAAAATGACATATAAATGTTATGAACACTTTCATCGAAAGTATTTTACAAAATAATATCAACACATTGTATTTGAAAACTCTTATTGATTATGTACCTTACATATTATATAAAAGGAGAATATTATAATTAGGGCCTGGAATTGTATGCGTTTGCATATTTTTATTTATTAAATTAATAAATAGCTGGTAAGATACAAAGTTGAATCTTAACCTAATGTGTTGGTAAAATTAAATGTTGCATATTTTCGCATATTTGGGACATTTTTAATTTTTATGCATATTTTAGCATTTTTCTAAAATAAAATGTAAAATACCTATTAATACTAATGCTTAATGCTATGTCATATCATGTAAAACCTGTAGATGTGAAAAGAAAAAAATTGCCTGAAAATCGAAGTGCATTTTAATATGAAAATGTATCCAAGTCTTAAGTAGTTAACTGTAACTCTCCGTGTAATTTTGAAATATTATAAAAATATACTAAATTTGTTTTATTTGATTTTTGTTCATGAATTTTTATTTAGATGAGTGAATATTCAAAATGCAACATACTATTAAATATATCATATTAAATACAATTAAATTATATCAAATTGGCATTTAATAAATTTTAAACTAAATACATTTAATTAAAATGCATTTTCGTTCACATATTTTTGCATATTTTAATGAAAATCAGTATATATGCATGCATATTTCATAAATTTTTAGTGCAGATCATTACGGGTCCTAATTATAATCAATTGATTATTTAAGACAACATATTTTTAAAAATTTTAAAAAAGGTATAAAACAAAAGAAATTAATTGGTAAAGAAAATGTAAAAATAATGTTAACTTATTTCCATTAMGTGAAAATTTTGAAACAAGAATTATTCTATCTTTATCTAAAACAAAGACATTAGCCTTCAAATGCAAATCTTATTTATAATTATTAAAATTGCTTATGTTTTAAACATAAATTTAAATTTAGTGATATATTTTTATTTAATAGTCTTACTTGGTGGTCTCATTTGCAATGGATGTTCCACTAAGTGTGATATATTACTTCTTTTAAATTGAACTTCACCAGCCTCATTTAAATAACTACAATTTGAGAAATTTTATTTTATTATAGTTAAACAATTATGTAACAATATATTTACAATTCCAAACTTACGATGATCCATCTAAAATAACACTATCCCACCATTCAAAATCAGGACAATGTTCAGTTAATTGTTCTTCTTTTGGCACTAATAGTGCCATTTTCGTTACAGATGAAATACCAGTTTTACGAGCAATTTGTGAAATTTCATTTTGCAATTTTTCTAATTGGGCCTACATTACAAAATAAATATTATTAAATAAATATAGAAATTAAGTACTACAATAAAACATAACTAATTGATATGAACACAAAGATTAAATATGTGATAGTCAACATGAACATTTTAAAATACCTTCATTCTTAGACGATCAGCAATTTGTTGAAATTTTCCAGGTTCATGAAATTTTAAGGATCGTTTTGTACGGATATTTGTTTTTAATGTCAATCGTGGATCAAAAAACTTTAATTCAGAGGAATCGTCATTAGATTTCTCACTAAATGTTTGTTTAAATTCTTCTCGTTTTTTTGCTCTGATATTGGCTTTTAATGTAGGTATAACTTGTGTTAACTGAACTTCTTTACCAGTAATATCAATTGTACGTCCTTCGCTATCAAGAATTAGAGGAGTTGGTTTTTCAGCAGAAGAACTCAGAGTTTTTGGAACACTAGGAACTGTCTTTATAATACCAGTAGCTAACTTTTTTTGTATTTGAGCCTAAATATTTCAAAAATGTAATATTAATATGTATTATATTTTATAAACAATATTAAAATCCAAACATAATATTTTATAAACAAACTATAACCTGCAATTGAGCAATTTTTGCTTGTTTCTCAAAATCAGTTGTTATTTGTGGTTTTTTATCTTTGCCATTAGTACTTTTTTGAATACCAGCCGATGGTATGGATAGTGCTTTTTTACGTTCTTCAATCATTTTTTGAGCGTTTAACATCATGTCTTTAATCTATTAAAACATTAAAAATTATTGAACCACCAAAAACAATAAAAAAAAAGG